TAAATAGATGCCTCCTTGACAACCAAGAATCCTAGTAATAGGAGTGAAGTGGTAAAGTGTAGTTTGCCTAAACTTCCCTGCAGGCAGAGTGGAGCTCTATGCAGGACTACTTTCATCAAGCACAGCTAGCTGACTTTGAAAATTCCTCCTGAGGAACAATGATCAGCGGAACCTTCTTACATTCATCTAATTTCCAAGCCTTGATGTGACATATGAAATAAGAAGAAAGTGACAACAAAAATCAATGTGTCTAAATAGTCTTGCTTCGAAATATACCTGTCACTGGCTTAACTCAGAAATTGGGTGGGATATTAGATCTGATATCTTTGTTGTTGTTGTTGTTGCTGTTGTTGCTGTTGTTACCTTGGCTTCAGAATTTATTTTCGTACCTGAGGAGAGAAAATGACAGAAAGCCTCTTCTTAATTTTGCATAGGAGAGAAGTCCACTTATTAAAACTAATTCACAATTTTAAACAAATAAAATGATCAGTGACTGCCCATTCTTGCACTGGGCCTTTCTTCTCTTCCGTGTCAACATGCTTCTGATGAAAATGAGTTCTGCCACATCTTAGTGGAATCGTGAGGTTTTAGAATTATTCAGTAAAAATAAATCTCTAGGAAGTTAACATATTTTAAGTTACAAAAGTATAATATATTAGAAATTATGCCTCTATGAATCTGACAGTTTTACAATTGGAATTTAGAGACAGAAGACAAGTATTAAACTAAATTTTGAGCACATTTTTCTTCCATTAGATTCCCTATATAAATATGTATAAAAGCATACATTTCTATAAGCTGGCTATCAATTATTTTCCTATTTTGCATAACACTTGTTGTCACTGAGACTTTAAATAGAAAATATATAATGCAAAGTTTAAGTAGTCCTCAGAAAGAAAATGCCTTGCTTCACAGTCTGAGGAAAGAATTTAGGTTTTCACTCTGTAGATTATGAAATTTAAAAACTACTTAAACACTTTACTGAAGAAAATACTCCCTTTGAATAAAAAAGTCACCACATCAAGAACAATTAGCGATCTTAAACGTGTGATCTTTTATGAGTCTCTTTTGAAAAATATACAACTTGTCAAAAAAAAATTACAAAGATGATTGTCTATGTTTAAACAAAGCAGTAAAAGCCATTCAACCTCCCATTCACACATAAATGCATTTTCTTTTCAAAGGATATTTACCCTTTAAGGAGACATTTTTAACCTTGTGACACCATAAAATTCCATGCATGCAAAGTTATTTGTTTTTATTTTTCTGACATTCATTCTTGACCAGATATTTTCCATGGGCTTTCTCATGTTACTCAACTAAAGGCATAATTTTAATAGTTTATTTTAATACCTTGATTAATAGGAGCAATCTGTTTAAAAATAATATTAGTGTTGGCATTTTGTAATGAATTGCAGAAGCTGAGCAGACATGCTCTTTTGTGCCTTTTTCAATTTCCTTTGAAAATGTGTTGAACTCCTCAGTATTTGTTCAAACCTACCAAGTTTTAACATGAGCTAAGCATTAAATGGATTTGGAATCTGAGAAGGGTGTTCGCCTACAGTGTAGCGACATGGGGAGAAAAGGTTTGGGTTGAGACCGGAGTATTTCAGAATTATAAGTGCTGGCAAGTAAGAACCACAGCCCTGCAATTTTGGAGGCCCTCAGCATGGCCACTGCTGCTAACCAACCAATTTTAAAAGACTAAAGACTGGGTTTTTTCCAAAGTGACAATAGTTGCAAATTGGCCATCTAACTCACAGTGGCACTAGCCCAATCGAGGCAATTTCCTGAGAGCTTATGATAATATGTCCCTATTATACAAGACCTAAAAGATTTTTAATGGCCTGTTTAGGATTTGTTCCTACAGAACTAAAATGAAAATGGCTGGCCTGTATAATAAAATATTTCACTGGAAATGAAACATAAATGTACTAGTACTCCATTTTGAAAAGAACTTTGTAAACTTATTTTTTTAATTCTGAAATATGTTCAAATTTACAACAATAAAACTCTAGGAAAAACAGTGATGCAAATGTTTAACATGAGATTCATACAATTTGATTCACCCTATCTTGTAAACAGCTAGACTAGCTAGCATCTAAATACCAAGGATGAAAAAGAAAAGGTAAAATTGTGTTTTTTGTGGGGGTGGCGGGGGGCGATGTACATCCTAGAACAAGGACATATCAGAGGCTTTGGAAATTTGAAAGAATGCATTCGCTCATCAACAATCCAATGACAATTAATATTTGTGAAATATAGTCTTGAAAACAATTTTGTTCATTGTTTATTTTTTGTGAAACTGACAGAATAACTTATTCTAAATCATGTTATAAGTGGCACTTATAAAAAATACTGAGACGTGGCACAGTTTGTGACATATTGAGGGTCAATTGTGTGAAGAACCAAGGCAACAAGCCCATCAAAAAGCAGTAAATGGAGGTCTTTGTCTTTAAGTTATGAAGAATGTGTATGTATTTGATCCTGCCAGCCAGCAGTCCTGCAGCTTTCTGGGCATAAGACAGATGGCAGTGCAACCAAGCTAGAATTCAGACCTTCCTTCTTTCCCTCTGGGTCTAACTCCTATTATCCACTTGTAAATTAACCTGTCAATTTATCAATCAACACCATCTTGATTCTCCCCTGTTCCACAGCCCAGCCTTGCAGTGAATTTGCCTCGTAAATAACTGGGAGCCCCGTGTTTGTTAGTATTGTGAATGAGTTTATTATCACTTTGATGGCTGCTATGAATCACAAATGCTGCTGAGAGGCTGATAAGAAAAAAGTACATGCACACATTAACAGGGTTGAAACTATTTTAGAGATAAAAGATGGAGTAACTGTGATAGCAAATCATTTAAATTGAAAAAAATGACTAAAAATTGTGTGTGTGTGTTTGTGTGTGTGTGTGTTGGACAACCCCCTGTAGTAAAAGAGAGAGAGAAATGAATCAACTTTCCTGTGTACTGTTCAAAAAAAGAATCTGCAAGACTACATTAGTAGACAGTAATAGTTCTTGGGTGTTGCAGGATAACTGTTTTATTTAATGGTTTAGGTCCAAACTTCAGGAAGCACCCAGCTCTGTTCTAGCAGACCAGTTGGCTAGGTTTACATTTAGGTGTTGCATGGGAACTTGAAAAAGAAGGGAAAAAAATCCAAATTGTATACTTTATTAGAATAATATACGAAAGTATAGCAATATCTATTAAGTTAAATGAGGCAGTTTGGTAAGCTTAACACATTAACAAACAATTAACATCAAAGTGCTAATTAAATTCTTTCCCCTGTGTCAGTGAAATAGTTATGTATTTGACATGTAAAATTAAATTTAAGTGATCTTTAAGTTAGAAATTCTTCAACAAATGCTGTACATATTAAAAACTTACAAAATTACATGTTGTCTTCAGTTTCCAGTGTCAGACTTTTCTCAGCATGATTATTCTTTTACATTTTAAAATATCATATTAATAAAAATCAGTGTTTTTAAGGAATACATAGCATTACATTCTGAGGATTAGGACCCATGTTATTAACTCAGAATTACTTTGAAGGATTAAATTAAATATACTATATTTAGGACTACTTTAAAACTATATGTATAATCATGTACATATTTTTCATTTAAAGCAACATTCATGGTTTGTAGTGAGCAAATATAAAAATAAGACTTAACTTCTTAGGTTCTGGCACATATGTTTTTCTTTAAAAATTACATTCTATATTCCATTAACTGGGTATTTCATTTTTAATCACAATCGAAATATTTCTTTCAATACTTTCAACTTAATGTACATATGTCTTTTGTTGGAAAAGTGTCTGTAAATGAATCCTAAATACAAGCAATCACATTATTTATTAAAGAAAATAGAAAGCTACATGTAATATACTTATGTTTTCATTATGCAAAATATATATCATTTGTAGGTGATTTTAAAACAAAAAAAATTTCCTGATAATGTAATTTAAGCAGATCACCATGAAAAATATTGCAAGGCATGACATTAAAGTTATCAAACTTGTAAGTCAGAAATAAACTATTAGTTGTCACATGGGAAATACTTTGGCACAATTAAGACACTGCATTAAAAGGGAATATTCCCTGAACATTATTATACCCAATATGTCAATGGTAGAAATGTGATAAAAAACGAAACTATTTGTTAGAATGCAATTTAGAAAACTCGATAGGTTGTCCATTTTATTCAGTTTATAATTAAGATAGTGTTTAAATCTGAAATGAATTCTATATATGCATGTTCAATAGACTATAGCACAACAATAAGAATGGAATCACATCTCATTTTATCGTAAATTGTGTAATAAGCGATAAGGTAAAAACTAGGGCTAAAATCCTTCCAGCAAAAATGAAACAGAGCGACCTCAATTGCCCTAATTCATTCTGCTTTTTTCCTTTTTTTTTTTTTAAGTCTCTTCATTTTCCCTCTGTTCACATTATTAGCTTACACATGAGTGCATTATTAGAAAATAACAAAGCCAAACAGGGGGGTTTCGAAGGAGCGGGAGATAGGTTCCTTCTACAGCTGAAAGGTATTCTCATTTCATTTGTTAGGAGTTGCAAAAATAGTTTTATAGCCAGGGAGGGACAATGACCTTTCTCTTTCAACAAGCTTGGTGGTTGGTCTTTTGATGGAAAAACTAGGGGATACAACATCTGGTAATTTGTGTTACTGAGCTTAGCTGAGGTCTTAACGATGTAAGCAGATTATTCTTGAAGAAGAACAAAAAAAATTCCGGAAGACTCAATGGACTATTTAAAGTTATTAGGCAGTGCATTCTAGCACTTCAGATCTCTTTTCTGATTCATTTTCCCTTTAATGCTATGCCTTCGAAGCAATTTTTTTTTTTTTTTAGGTCTACCTTCTTCCAATTCCAGTTGACTTTTTTGGTGGTCCACAGCTGTTTTGTCATTCATACCGGTCTCCTTTTTTCCATCACAGCAGAAATGATTACTTTGCTGATTAAATTTTCTCCTTCAGAACTTTAGGAAGCTCTCCTTCACCCCCGGGAGTCATTGCTAGACCAGAAGGGTCAAGCAACACCAAATAGCAACAGCCAAGCCTCGGCAATTTTAAAGGAAGAAAAAAAATGTGAACAAGAGCAACGCGTGAAGAAAATGACCCACCCTGTCCAGGATTCTAGGCAAAAAAATAAGTGAAAGATGGTACTAAGTAGTTGCTGTGAGATCCTCTCCCCGCATGCATCATATTAAAATCACATCTAAAGTTTGGGTTCCTTACTCTGATATAAATGGTGTGGGGTTCATTTAGTGTATTCACCTTGCCCCTGTAAGAAAAAAGAGACCCAAATGAGACGCATCGTGCAAAGCTCGGAAAGATTCTTAGCACTCTTTTTAAAGAAAAAAAGAAATATTCTATATTGAAGTAAGTCAGTAAATAAACATTAACTTGAATATTCAAGTTTATCTGACTTAACTCTGGCCAAAAAAAAAAAAAAAAAAAAGACATTGCTGTAACTTTAAGTTTTATCTGAAAGTCTAGGCAAGTCAAAGTACAGAACACAGAAGGAGCCTCAGACTGTAGCCCACCTGGAAATCAGGGGTTCTGCTCTGCATCAGGTCTGCCTCCCGGACAGAGAGATCGCATGTGCACACAGACTGGCTCTTTGATTAGCACATTGCTTTACAGTTATGAAATGAAGGAAGCAATAACATTACACAGCAATTTCAATCTCTCCCGTGCCCACAATTCTTCGGGATGGCAGGACATTATCTTAGATCACTATTTCTTCAAGTCAAAGGGCTTCACACAGAGCAAAGTATGCTACCTTAAAAGAGAAGTAGAAAGAGAAAGTGAAAGAGAAAGAGACAGAGAGAAGAAAAAAAAAAAACAACAAACCCCACCAATATTCTGATGCAGGATTCCATTTGGAAAAGAACACCAAACAATTTTCTATCTTAGAATAGCTACACAATAAAAAATATTTCTGTTAACACTTAGACAAACCATTGTATGTTGATTCATTACATATTTAATATTAAGTATAATTTCCCATGTTACAATATTTTTTCACGTGACTTCTGGACTTTCTGGAATTGCCAGGAACAGGAGAGGTCTGTGCAACGTAAAAAGTAATTCTAGCTCAGATTATTTTTGAAGAATGCAATATAATAGATATATTTGAATTTTATATGATGTTTATATTACCTTCAGTATTGCTTTGCTACATTTTAATTTTATTATGTATGAATCATTTATAATTAAGATCCCTTTAGGTAAGAGAGTAGTCAACTTATTTCCAATGTACTTTAAAAGGTTTCTTCTTTTATTAAGATGGGCAGTTAAATAAATATTTTTCAAATTGAACTAAAATCTACACTGATCATTTCAATTTTATCAATATTTGCCCGACATAGTGTTTGAATTGACACTATTTAAAGTTAACAGAAACAGTTGGCTCCTATATAATCTCAATTTACCTCTATATTCTATAGAGTTTTTGTAATTAAATGTAATTTACTCAAGTTTACTATTTTTTCTTTCATTACTAAGATACAAAATTCTTCAAATGCGTCATGTAGGATACACTTGAGCATTTGGTACTTGTCTTTCCATCAGTTCTGCCAGCTTCAGATTCAAAGCAGCATTTGTTGAAGTTCTACTGCAGGAAGAAAAAAAGTATCCATTTTTGGTTATAAAGGGCAACTGCATAATCAGGGTATTGGCAGATAAACAATGGCAAAAAAGAGACAATTTAAACAGAAAAACTGATGAAATCCACACACATAAGCACAAAAATAGTTTATCCTTCCACCTAACCTAGCTAAATCCTTCACAGAAAGTTATGCTCACTTATCAAACCAAAATTTTCACCACAATTGGGTTGGTTAATTTTCTTGGTAAAAATTTAGAACCCTAACCCATCTTAATGGCAGATACGTTTCTGAATCAGCAGTGGGACTCTAGTAATGGAGACAGGCAAAGGAAAGCTCCAAAGGCAGTTTGTGGTCTGGTAAATTGTGCTCATAAACAAGGATTTCATCAGAGGATTTTAATTTTTTTCCTTGAATCAGTCACATGGTTTCAAGTACTCTCTGTACATGTCAGTTTCTTTACATAAAACAGGGAGGGTGGCCTAAGAAAGAGCTAACTAGGCCAGGAACTTCTCATTTGATTAATTCCCCTCCTTGGTTTTATCAATATCCAATCATGTCCTTTTTCACATTTCATCTTTTTTCATCTCATTCTGAATCTACTCTCCCACTTCTATCCTTAGAATCCCATTCTTAAATTTACCCTTTTAACCATATTCTTTCGTCTTCATATTAACCATCCCATGGCACCACTTGGATTCTATCAAGATCCTACTCAAAGTCTTGGTTGGTCACTGAATACAATCTAAATCTGGGGCTGATTTCAAGGCTATTCACCATCTGAGCCTACCTCTCTATCCAGATTTCTCTTCCAGTTTTTCTAATAAGAAGATCATGTAGTGGAAAAGAAACGAGACATGGATTCAGAAAACTTAAATTTGAACGTAATTTATTATACGATCACTCTGTACCATTGGATAAGTCATCTAGTCTCTCTGAACTTTAGTTTCCACATACCAAACATTGACAGCTGGTGGTCTACAGGCCAGATGTGGACCCAGGTGTGTAGTTTGCTTGAGACAATTTATTTTGCCCTTTGGGATTATCTGTGTGGTTCCGTGGTCAGTGGCATGTGGGTCCATGCCTCATTTCCAAAAAAGGGATATTGATGCCTATCACACCATATTGCTGGTGGATTAAATTAGGTAATATAAGGAGAAGTCCCAGGCTAGTGCTTGTTACAGGAGAGATTTTCAATAAAATTCAGTTCAATTTAAAACTGTTTCACTTGACTACATCCATCTTCTGATGTGAGTTGTATGGATAACTAGAAATACATTCTGTCATTGTCTATTTCTGGGCTTTTGCTCTGATGTCCTCTAAAACCACTCTCCCTTCTCTGCCTAGAGAAATCTCAGGAACAGGCCTGAATGTCTTTCTCTCCATAAACCTTTTCTTGAGCCCCTGATGACTCAGTGACCTTCAGCATCAGTCTGAATGGCAGTAATAATGCTACTGGACTTAGAATCTTCTGGCCCAGTAGAAAACTTGAGATCTTGGAAACCAATCTTTTCACCCTCCAGATGAGGAAACCAAAGGTTAGAAAGTACATAGGACAAACCCAAGGCCACAGAACCAACAAGAGTCCAGTACTTACATCCAGCTGTCTGATCTCTCATGTCAGTTCCATCTTTCTACTTCGCAGGTTACTATATGATTTTTTTAAATTTTCATTGTTTTATATACAGATATTCTCTTCCTTCACTCAATTACAAGACTCTGAAACACATGGATATTGTCTTAAACACATACTTGTATATCACACACAAACCAGTCCAATGCCTTGCAATATTCAATAATATTTTGAATAAAAAGAGAAAGAAAAGCAGGCAACTTTTTATGGTTGTGGTTTCCCACGCAAGCACCCAAGGGCTCAAGGTATAACTACTTCATCCCTGTTCTTACAGAGATTTCTATGTTTCAGATGCACAAAAAATAAACATTTTTTAATTTGTTAGTCTCTACTATGACCAGGTATTAGTATAAATGCTTTAAACTTCTTGTTTTGCTTAAAGTTCCCAACACTTTACAGTAGTTACCAATATTGTCAACCATATTTTAAAATGAGAAAAATAAGCTGAAGAGGTTTAAGTACCTTGTTCTAAGCCACACAGCTACAGTGGATCAGGGCTCAAACAAGATCTGTCTCGGCTCACAGCCCTACTGCTTTTTGTAATGCCAATTTCCAAAGCCACCTTTGTTGCCCTGGTTGAGTTCATATTGCTCCATGTCACACTTGCACCTGTTGTCATCACCTAGGATAAGAACATACATTCAATAATATAAATCATCTTGTCCTACCAACCTTCTCCTTTCAAAATTTCCAGGTGCCTACAGAAGCCACCTTGGTATTGACTTGACCATCTTAGCCATTTTGATCTGCCCACCACCACAAGCCCTCAATCAACCTGCTGTGAGGTCACACAATACACAGCTTGTTCTATAGCATCTTCCGAACTTGACTTTGGGGCTCTCTTTTTGCTTTTACAGTTTCTTCAGCAAGCCCAGCATAGATATTCCTTCTTTGCTGTGCATCTTATGCCAAAGTCCTCATTTTGTTTTCTTCCTTCATTTAACCATTGCACCTTGTTGAGCCTTGCCGTGTGACACAGTCTTGTTCTAGAGGGTGAGTTAGAGAAAGGGAAGTAGGCGCAGAAACCAAGTGATGCAGTGAATCATTAAATGAGATATGAGCAAACTTTCTGCGGGACATAAAGCTGTGAATACAAATGGGCAGTGGTCACTTGAATGGCTTATTGGAGAGAGGGTCAAGTGACCATTGGAGAAAGGGTCACTTGATGTGGGTGAGGAAACATTGGCAGGTTTCTCTCATCTTGACGTAGAAACAATTATATAGACTATCTCCCTCTGAAATGTTTTAGGCAAGTTGATCCCCACTGCCATAGTGCTACAGTATCCCTCTAATCACATTATTATTTGGATCCTGTCAAATTTAACTCCTTAGGTAAGAATCTCTGCACAATGAGTACAGAAATTAGGGCACTCACTAGAATAGAACAAAAACACCTAGAATTTAAGTTATATGTTCAGTCTCTTTACTTTCTATGCATCTAATTATTATGCTTTTAGTATAAAAATCTTTAATAACATTTACATATATAATCCAATGTAAAGTTCATGATCTTTCATTTACACAAATTAAGAAACCATGTCTTTAAATTAGAAACTTAGAGATAAGGAGGTCAAACACAGGTAAGAAAAATGAGTCCTAATGCTGCCTGAGGGTTAGGGGAGCTGCTGACTCAGAAACTCAGGCCCCACAGTGTTACTAATCAGAAAATCAGGTAGCAAAGTGAGATTTAATAATAATTATACTTTGGATTTCTATAGTACAGTATGTTTATAGAGCACACACTTTCTCATACATATTTTCACCCTTGATTGTTATGATAACTTGCTAAGATCAGTTACCTTCTACTACTGCCATTGTACAAGTGCAAAAGGTGAAACTTAGATGGGTTCAGTGATTTTTTGAAGATCACATCACTAATAAGCAGCAAAGACAGAGCTAGAGAAATGACTGGCAGACTATCATTTCTACTTTTCTTCCATGATTGCAAACAGTTACCCATATTTATGCAACAGACTCAAGGACATATATATAGGATTCAGTTCAGCACACCCTTAAGGAATCCTTGTATGGAAAATACTGGGTAGACCTCGGAGGATGAAGCAAAGCTAGGAAACAGACTTGCTTCCTATCCTTGTGAAGCTTACTAACTTTTGGGAAGCTCTGCAAAACAAAGAGTTTAGTTTCCATGAAAAAGGCTGCAAGGATACAACGATCCTTCAGTGGTCAGAACAGTAGTTTCCGCATAAAATAAAAGAATATTACAAATCTAATCCAATTATTCTAAACATGTAAAGTTGCAAGGCTAGAATAGCCCTACAGTGCTAAGACCAATCATTTCTACATAAAACAAAGAAGTTATTACAAATTTAAATCAATTAGTCCAAAAATTCCAGACCATTAGCTGCAAAACCTGAAACAATGGTACTCTCAAGAGAACAATTTGTTAGTGAGATGCCACCCACCATGAACCAAGATAATTATCCAAGTCCCTGGACTGGGAAAAAAGTGCTAGTGGGTGCCAAACTTATGAAACAACTCTCGTCAATGGTATTCCAGCTTTTGCATGCCTATATTCTACCCCAGGGATAGCAAGGCGTGGAAGAAATTCTCACTCACCACGCCAACTAGCGAAACCAGGAATTGAAGCCATAGCTGCACAGGGCTCTTCCTTCTTCCGTTTGTCCTGTCAATTCCATCTCAGTGCAACAGGCCAACGTTGAGGCCAGAGATTATCAT